CAACTAGTCCGAAACCTGAGACATTAGCAAGAAGACTCTCAGGAGTTTAGGATTCTACCAAGTGGCTTTAATAACCTCATTCTCTTCCCCACCTGTTTCCTCTTTCTTGAGTTCCTGCTTTATTGAACTGTATCACAAACCCAATGAACTGAGCTAAAAATTCTTCAGAAGTCCTTCCAAAACCTCAGGCATAGGGAACCTATAAAAGACACAGATGACATAAAATTAACATGTATGAAAGATGCTGAATTTCGGGATGATACCAGTCTCTGCCAAGCACCAGGGAGAAGGAAGTTCTTCACCTTTCAAATCACTCCCTTTCCAGTCCCAGGATGAACTGATGGATGTTTCTGATGTCTCTGGCTTTCTTTCCCATTGTCTTCCTTTTCAGACTTAGGCTCTTCTAGATTCTTGGGGGTTTACCTTTTGCTTTCTCACTACTGTAGTTTGGCCCCTCCCTTGCCCAAATTCCACTATAACTTTTGCAGTGTCTCCTGTATCACCCTAAATGACTTCAATGTCCACGTTGCTGGACCATATCGTTCATTCATTCATTAGTTCATTCATTCATTCATTCATCACTCTTTACGGAGTGCATACTATGGGGTAAGCACAATCTGCTGGTGCGATGACAAGCAGAAACACTTAACTCCTCTCAGCTTACTTCTGGGCTCCTTGATTCTCTCTCCTCCAGTGACTTTCACAACTCTTCCCCTCATGAAGGGCCTTGGTTCAGGATTCACCGTCTGAGAATTTTGAGATGCTGCATTCTCAAATGTCTGAGTGAAGTAACGAGAGAAGGCTGTGGTCATTCGCACTGAATGTGCTCTGGGCTCACATCTCAGCTTCCCTGCCTGTTTGTCTTCTCATCCCTAGTTCTCATCTTAGACTGAACCATTTAGGCCATCATCATTCTGAGGACGGTCATTAGTTCCCTTAGTTTCCCCAGGACTGCTTTGTCAATCCTCATCTCTAGGAATTTTACCACATTCCTTTTCCCCAGTTGATGTTCCCCAAACATGACCATGCAGGTTGGACCTGCTTCGAGGACACGCCACCCAACCTCAGCTGCGTCACTGCCACTCCCCACAGCGCTTGAGCCTCCTGCTAGTTGACCCCTCCCTTCGCAGCAGCCGCTTCACCCTGTCTGTTCTCCTCCAGCCCAGCCCGAGTCCGTTGGTGGACAGCCTTACCAAGGAGGCAGGAACCCTCTCAGCAGACTCTCTTCACCTCTGCTCCTGTCTCCAGCCCCTGCCCAGTTCTCCCTCTGTCTCCTTCTCACCAATAAACTTCTCTGAAGCCAACACACCCTTTGCCTCCTCTTTTTTCAGTCCAGACTCTCTAACCCTTATCATTTGGCTGTATGCATAACCCCCCCCCCAAAACCTTTTAAGGTCACCAAAGACCTCCTAAATATCAGATGTAAACCTTCTAAGCTCTCATTCTTCTCAACCCCTGCCATCCACACTGTGCATCAAGCCCTTCTCGATGCAACTGTCCCCTTGGTTTCCACGATTTCTTCCCTGCTCCTTCCGCGTGTGCTTCTTGGTAGTTCCATCTCGGGCTCTGGACTGTTTGATCTCTGGGTGATCTCAAGTATTTTTGTGTTGAGAGCTCTAGGAGTTAAAAATCCTAGGGGAAAAAATATCACACGCAAGGTCTCTGATGACTCGGCCCCTTCAAACCTGTCCGTTCTTTCATGTACCAACGCCAGTTGGCCTACCCTCCAGCTACCTTGCATGACTGTTCCCACACATGCCAGGTTGTCCACATTCTGCCCTTCTGCCTGGTCCTACCCATTCCTCACCAGAGTAGTTCCTAGTTAGCATGCTGAGACTTGGCTGTGAGGTGCCATCTCCTCTGCAAAGTCCTCCCTTTCTCTTCTGGTCAGTTTACATTCCTTTCTGTACCCCTTGCTATCACAGCAGTGTCATTGTCTATTCACTTCTCTGCCTCTCTCATTGGCGTGCAGGCTCCGTGAGGCCGGGGCTGAGGTTTTGTTCACTCAGTGCAGTGGCTGGCACAGTACTGGGTGCAAGTAACTGCTTAACAAATGGAGCCAGTCGTCATCTCTATGGTAAGGACTACCCTTAGGCATGCTGAATAGCTCTGGGACAGGTTATCATAACCACCTAGTACAGGAATAAACTAATGACCAAGGGTTAGCACACGTCTTTGTTTCTTCTTTTTGTTCTTCTTGGACTTTAAAAATCTTTGAACAAATATTGTTTAGAGTAAACAAGTAAACAAGTATTGTTTTGGTTAAAAGAAAGTTACCCATAAGAATGATCTTTGACAGTATGTCAAGTGTTCATACTGTATTGCTGAAACCACATTTGCTTGCAGGTAATAAGCCAAACTACATGGAGCAAGAGAGGGGATTATTCATAAAGAGTCTGGTGTGTCCCAGGATGGCCAAGGACAGGAATGAGGCAGTGCTTGGCAAATCCTGGACCCAGGAACCTGGCTGCCCTGAGAACCCTGTCTCTCACTTTATCTCCAGCCCATACTGCAGATGAGATGGCAGGGGACAATTCCCAAGGTTTACGGCAGCTTCAGCCAGGCACAGAAAACATTTCCTCCTTACTTCCAGTCCCAGAATTCTCAAAGAATGGGTCCCCGCCTAGACTACCCAGCAGTGGCCACAGGACATGGTATGCTGCACAGGGTAAATCCCAGAGCCCTGTGGGTGGGAGGTGTGTCTTTAGTTGGTGAGCAGTTGCTGGGTGTACCAGGTATCTGTTACACATACTTTCACTCAGGCTGTTGTCCAGAAGTTTCTCCAATTATCAAAATGCTTCCTATCCTTCATGGCTCAAACTTAAATATCACTTCCTTTGTAAAATGCTTACTGATCTCGATTCAACCAAGTTTGAACTAGTTCTTCTTTTTTCATTCTGCCTTATTTTATGTTAAGTTTATACATCTATAAACTAAGGAGAGAAAGATGATATAGGGGAATTAACTCTAGATTTTTAAGTCAGACCTGAATTGAAATTCTGATCCTCACACTATCAAGGTTACTTTGGCCAAGTCATTAAGCTTCTGAGCTAGTTTCCTCATTTATTAAAAAAAAATGACAAAAAGAGTTGAGGACAGGTATTTCATATGTTCTTGTGGGCGGTGGGGAAGACATGTGAAAACCCCCAACAAGGCAGGCACTCAGGAATTGCGTTTTCTTCCTTCAGGTTTCTCTCACTAGACTATGAACTCCTCAGAGTCAGAATTTTCCACTGTGCTTAAGTAATTCAAAGGCATACAGGTCTTCATCAAATGTTTAACTCCTTTCTGATTGTCTTCTCAGCCAGATTTAATTAGTAGTATTAGTATTTACAGAAACTTCTAAGTCAATTACCTGTATTGACTTAATCTCCATGATAACCCCATGAGATAGGCTTTATTGCCTCTCTTACAGATGAGGGAACAGGTGCTGAAACGTGAAGAAACCTGCTGGACGTCAGGTACTAGTAAGTGATGGGGTGAGGCAGCAGCACCAGGACCCTGTACTTCTAATCATCCCAGCTAGAGGCTTCTTGGTGGCAGAAAATATGTCTACTATAAAACAGTTCATATTGCTTGTTTTTGAGCTAGCTTAAAGTAACCCAAGCAAACAGCTGGTTTGATTTTTTTCATTCCTTTAATTAAAAACTTACAGGAGACTTAACAGCTTCCTATGGCTTATGACAATGGTCTTCACTAAGATATGACCAAAAATAAAAATAATTGCACTTGAGCGTGAAAGGGCTCACTTATGTACCATGCTGCAAACTCCTAGGGTCCCCAGGCAGTGGCTTTCAATCTACTGGTAAGCTCTTGGAGTTTTACCTGGTAGATCTCCAAACTGGCTGCCAGCATTGCTACACTTGCATAATTGTCCCTGGAGGTAGCCATGGAAACCCACAGAAAGCAAACAATAACTGTCCACTAGGAAAAGGGTGAGAAATCCTGACCTGAGCTCTTTATTTTTAGACAATATCCAGTGATACTTCATCGTTGAAGCCCAAAAGTTTTGATTTGTAAATCTTTTATTATACCTCACCAATCACCATCATGGGTGCAGGTCATGTGTGCCAGGAATGACAGCAGGTAAATGGGTAAACAGAGTTCAAGAAAACAGTGATTCCTATATTTGCATGGCAGTTAGGTTTCCAGGGTATTTTCACCCATTTTTCTTCCAATAGATCCTCAACCTCAACTGTGAGAGAAGGATGCAACATTATTTCCACTTTACAGATGAGGAAACGGAGGTTCACAGAAGTTAAGTGGCACAGCTCAGACATGACATGCATGGATTTCTGTTATAATGCGGGTCTTCTCTCCAGGGCTTTCTCCACTTGCACCATGGTGTTTCTGATGAGAGCAAGATGCAGTAGAAATTTCTGCGTGGTCATGGTTTGGGGAACAAATGGGGCTGGTAGGTAATGCTGGGGAAGATGCATAAAAATGTACAGGAGAAAGTGTGGCAGCTGCATGGCCAGGAAAGAATCTAAGTCTCCTCAAATCCGTGTCCTTCACAGGCAACCTCTGTTTCAGGGGCGGGGATGGGAGCAGGAGGATGGGATCAGACCCGTCCTCAGGGTCACAGCACCACCGCTCAGGTTACCGTCTTGCTGCAGGTGTACCTCTCATTCTGCCCCCAGTGCTGCACACCCAGGGTCACCCCTGCAGCCTCATCCGAAGTTTAGAAATCGGCCCTTTTGGTTGACTGAATGGTGTCCACCAAAAATTGCCGTTGCTATACTTCCTCACATTAAAAAAGGCTATAGATTTAGATCTGGAGTTTCAGATTTTGCTAGTTCTTTCTTAATTTTTAAAGTTCCACAGTTCCGTTTTTTTCTGGTTTAAAGTGACTCTGCTCTTGTCATGATTTACTCTTCATGTCTCTGCGCTGGTGATTTAGTTTGTTACATCTGACAAAGAATATTTGAGAAAAATCTTTCAAAAGAGTAGCGAATCCTATTGATCCTAAAACCCAGTGTGCGAAGAAAGGAAACAACAAATTTTTAATCAAAGTAAGCAATAATGACAGGTTTATTTAAAATTTCCAGTAGAGAAAACCCACTAGTTTTGGAATAAAAGTATTCAATGTATGAGAGTGTAAGTGAATATAAAAGATTAGCAGAAGAAAAACAAAACCAAGCATAGTACAAAGAAATTTTTTTGTAAATTTGAAATGGATTTAAAGGGATGTTCTTTAAATTAAATCTTCCAAATATTTAACAGAGTTACTAGGTTTGGCAAACAATTCATTTGAAAAGTAAAGCCTATTTCAATACTGTAAACTCCATAAAAACTGCTTATTAAATTCAAGCACTCCGTACAATTGGTATTGAACATAAACATATAGGCAGTCAATTTCAGGACAGCAGGAACTATTCATTTGCTCTCACAGTTTTATCAATTAACCAGCTGCATAACTGGTTTTTTTTGGGAGAGGATGGGATAGAAGATGCCAAAAAAATAAGGTAGAATAAAATCTCTAAAAAATTGAAACACAGCAAAGTTCAGACATCTGTTTGTTTCTGTAAAGCAACAAACTGAATTTTTACAGTATATTCTACATTTGCAGTTGTCATTTCCCTCTCCCCCCACCCCCTCATATACTCCTAAATCCACTAGGCTAATCAATTCTTAACTTCCAAATACTCTGTACATATATATATTTAGCAAAGAGCATATGCCTAACATTACTCTGACAGCAGGATGGTCAGCAGACAATTTTAGAGGGATTACTATGTATACCATCAAGATTAACCTTTACTTAAAAAATGAACAAAACCATCACTAAACAAATACTTTAAAAATATTATGAAAACCCATGAAAAGAAGTCTCAGTATGGGCTTTCAACCAGATAAAAACACACTTCAGAAAGACTATTAATGCTAAATTTCTGCCAAACGATGACCATAAAGTGCCAAACACAAAATAATCTGTTAGGACTATTTTTCCAATAGATCATTTGTCCCTGGCTTGGCCATCTCTCCTTTAACTGTACACAAAGTCCTGCTAAAAGTAGGCATTTTAGTTGATTTTACAATAGAACGTTACAATGTAAACTAAACAGGTCTTGATATCGACAGTATGTTACCCAAAGTTTTATTTCTGAATCCAACAGTTGGTCATAGAGGTCAAGTATTGTCAAGGCTCCTTTAACAGTTCTCGACTGTGGCTGACTCATTCATCCTTCAAGTACATGCAAGGCTCAACAGTTTTCAAGAGGCAGAAGCCTGCGGCCGTTTAAGACACGGATGAAATAGGATTATGAGGTGAACCCATCTGAGTAAGGACTTTATCCAGCCACTGGAGGGGGCCATGAAGATGGATCTCAATCCAGCAAGGGGTGCTGGTAACATCCTGGCGGTGGTATTCTGCTCCCCAACCCTAGAAACAACATAATTGGAGGTCATTTAACTTGCTAAACTCAGTGGTTAAACTTACTAAGTAAAAAGCGTTCCCATGATCAGACACCCTGATTAAAGGCATGGATACTTTCCGTAAGACAAATGCTTGTGCACACAGACGCACACACAATTTGGCAGGTAATTTCAGGGGATGGGTGTGTCCACAGCTCCCCTAAGTCCATCCATGGGTTACAGATTAACAAGTACTGATCTTGGTGGATGAAAGTTTTAAACTATATTCTAAGGCAATAAATACATTAATAAAGATGTTTTTTAACTTTCATTTTCATTGCCCATTAGGTTACTGAAAGTTTTGTAATAGATATCATTAAATTCTCATTTTTTCATCAAGAAAACAAAGAAGCATGTCAGACATTCTGTTTCTTTCCTATTCAGCCACTGTGGTCCTATCAATATAGTGCTTTTGATCTTTCAACCTCTAAGCAAAACTGGTGGTAGCACATAAGTATCCAAACAGCCATTACTGACACCTACCCATTGCCTGGAATCAGTACGTTCCATTATTTGTTTGTGCAAGAAGGTAGCTTGCCAGATATCTTCAGAGTTACTGAATTAGGACACTAAAATTGCATAGAAGAAAGTCACTATGCAAAAGAGAAAAGTGATTTTGGTATTGCAAAGATCAAAACCACATAGGTGCAGTAGACAATGCAATACAAAGTTCTGACAGACCTTTGTTTTATGAGGATGGATGGGTTCTATTTTTCTCTGCTACCTGCCTACTCTAGGAGTTTCAGGAGAAAGTTGTCACGTATATGAACTACGTATGTATATACATCCATGTATTTGCACATATATCAACATATTCCTGTTTAATTTAAAGGCTTGTTGATATGCATGTTTCCTCCATTAGATAGTAAGTAAGTTCTCTGAAGGCCAGGATATTACTCATCTTTGAAAGCAAACATCCAGCACACAGAATGACTGGCACACAGCAGAAGCTTTAGAAATACCTATTCAGCTGAACTTAGATTTTTCAGATATGGGGAGTTTACTATGCAAGTAATTTATAAAATGTTTTATATTAAAGTCCAAAAGTGATCTTAAAAACAGTACATGGGGTCATTTATATTAGAAAAATGTTCTAGATCATCTCTCTAAGATTCTAAGCATGAGAAGGCAGAGTATACAGTCCTTATGATATATAAAGAACAATGCAGTACAGATAGTGGGCAAATTTTCTGTAGTTAATGTATGATAACAGTGGTTCTTTATCATGTTAACAGGAATTTTAAATTAAATTTATCCATAACTCTCCAAATCCAGCTTCCCAGCTATGTCCATTATATCTTGTATAACTCTCCATTCCAGTACTTATCACATTATATTATAATTAAACATATATAGGTCATAAGAATCTTGAAGCTTGAGACTTTAGATGCTTTTTCATCTCTGGGTTAATTTTCTGGATTGATGCTAAAAATATTTGCTGAACGAATGAAATTTAACACATTAGAAATGTGCTGTAAATACTTTTTATTAGTGTAAAGGTTGTTTCTACTTGAGTAAAGGTAAATAATTTAAAATGTGTAAAAGTAGAATCATTAAAATTGATTAGGCTATCAATATGAAATGAGTTTGAGGGAAAAGCCAGTTGGAGCATTAGAGTCATAGATTCTCCTAGAGTGGACCTTCAATAATAATAGTCTCATCACAGGAATTTAGTATTGATTAACACAATTCCCACCTCTATCCACCCATTGTGATGATGATGAACGTGAGGATCAGAAAAGAATCCGTGCCTACTCACAGTCACAATGGCTGACAGAGATAGACCTTGGGTCTCTTGACTCTCAAGAGGTCTGTGGGTAAGTCCCTGTCCTCATTGTAAAATTCATTTTAACCAACATGCTAAAGTCAAAAATTAAGCAGTGAATGTATAATAATGGATGAGAAAGATCTTTGTTGAGTCACAGTTACACGATATATAGGTAAACCTCCTTAAAAGGTAAAAAAGAAAACAAAAACCCTTTAATACTAAGAAGGAACCAGACTCATCTACAAAGAATTGCTGAGTTGTGCTTCAAGGAAACCAACACTAAGAGAACACATTCAAAATTTGCAAGTATGTCTCAAAGAAGAGAAAAAATATGATACTCAGGGAAAGGTATCTTTGATCTAAATGATGATTAACAACATAAGATTCCAAAATTACCCTCTGTAATATATACATCACAAAACAGGTTTAACAACAAGTTAGGTGAGCTTCTGAACAGAGGACATAAAAGGCGATTGCCTCACCCTCATATATAATTAGTTTTGTTTCTCAAGGTAACAGAGGATGAAAATTTATCTTTGTGAATTCACAGGCAAGTCAGTCACTAGAGTATCTGACTCATGAAATTTCATTAGATATTTAATTTTTTTTACATTTCAATGGCATCTGAAAAATTTTATTTCTCAGAGGCAGAAGAGGAGACAGCAAAGAGATTATTGTGAGCAATGTTTCTAACCTTCTCCCTCCTCAAAACTTACAATCTTAGAGCTACGAAATCTATTTACCTTTGGGCATGGGCCTTATTAACTTGAATTGTAAGAAAATCAAGAGGTTTACTGGAATCACTAAAAAAAAACCCCCCAAAAACTGACAACTCAAAAATCAACCCCAGTATGATGAACTTTCTTTTACAAAAAGATCACCTTATTGTTGAAACAAAAGTAACAAGTATTACCATCATAAAAGTATAAAAACACAATATGAAAAGGGGGGTGTGCTTATTGAATTCATTTCATAGGACAATCTTGCATTTGAAATACATATGTAAAATATATCATGTAACATATTCTAAGGGTATTACAATAGCTAAGACAGTGCTATTCAAATAAGAAACAAGCTACTGAAGCCTGCTACTACTGACATTTAACCCAAACACTCCTATATTCCAGTGATATTCTCCTAATAATTGACCTCCTTGTTAAAGTTTAAAAATGCCTAGATAATAAGTTGGTTTCTATGGACACACATCAAGAGGACACAGATTTATATATTGGGGAAAAGCATATAGCAAACATACATTAAACCCTACCCAGAGGGATCAGAGCTCACTTACCTTCACAAAGCTCATGCGTATAGTACACATTTTTGTAAGCTCATACACTGTCTCAAAGCCATGGTTCACAGACTGGGCCAATAACTGAGCAAATTCTTGGTTATTAAAAATTTTCAAACTGCACCCACTAGGGATCTTGCAAACAGTAGTGGGATGGAATCCGTGATGGTAGTTGCAGTTCCGACTTTGCACAAAGATGCTGCTGTCACTGAGGCACTCAGCATATACCTCCCCTCCAACATAATAAAGATGAACTCCTGCAGGAAGACAAGGCTCAGAATTTAGTCATTACTATTTTTTTTTGTTTTTACAGCTGGAAAGCATCTGTGTAGCTTCAAAATGTAAATTTACATGGATTTTAAACTTTGACTAATTATAAATAGTCTCCAAGTCTTGCATAACTGATAAAAATCTTAGTTAAATCTATCAGTTAATCCAATATCTGTATGTCAACATGCATGTATAGGAGATTTCGAGGAAATAATAGAACCAAATCTCTTAAAATCAGTAACATGATAAAATAATTTCATTTTTATAAGTTTAATGCCCTATTTGGCCATTGAATGAAAGCATATTTTTACTTCAAAAATACAGCACAATAAAGCTGGACTTATTTTGGGATCTTACATGTACTCATTATATAAGCTCTCTTGCATTTACTTTGCAGCTAAGCTCTTTGAAAAATTTTAGAGTAGAAGGGAGGATTGAGAGAAGTAAAAAAGCTAGGAAACCACAGGCAAAGGAAGTATTGCTGAGAGCTGTAAGGTGTAAGGTCCAGGGGAAAAATATATATATGAAAATAATTCATACTGTATGGAATCTGAGCTCCCTGAACTACCATCTGCTCCAAACTTCTCCTGTGAGATCTAGAGTGACAGGAATATAGGAAATTGATCTTACCCAGCCTTTGAAAAAAGAAAAAGGGGGAAAACCATTCCAACAAAGCCCTACACTATTAGGGGAGATTACTTTATTACAGGTCACCCATCAAAGAGTCACATCCCCTGGGGCTTTAACCATCCACTTGCAGGTAACTCTGCCATGGCTGAGCCAATGCTAAAACTACTGTCTCATCCAAAATATTGCGTGTTGTGTGTATATGGACTAAGACTTCTGTAGAGGGCTAAGACTTCTGTTAACAAATACCTGCTGGAGAAGCAGCCCATTTTTCTGTTTGATATAAAGAAAACAACATTTGAGAGTTTGTGTGTGTTTTTACTTCTTTTTTTGATTATAAAAACGAGTTGTTTTTATTTTAGAAAACTTAGAAAGTTAAGACAAAACATAAAGAAAATACCACTCCCTTAGTGACCTAGAGGAAATAACTGTTAATAGTTTGACACTGTATTCACTTTTGAGTATCATTAAACATTCTTTACAAACACAATATCCACATGATTGTGTGATACAGCAATTTATTTAACTGTTCTTCCACTACTGAGTCATTGTGTTGATACTAATTTTCTGTTATTATAACAATGCCATGATAAATGTCTCTGGGTAACTTTAGGTAGTATCTTTAGCAGAGATTCCTAGAAATTAAATCCCTGGATCAAAGCCTCTTTATTCATTTTGTCACATGACTTTCCAGAATGCTTATATCAATTCACATTCTCACCAGCAGAGTATGAGAGTCTTTCTCATTTTGCCCATGCCAACATTGAGTTGGAATTTAAAACAAACAAAAATTTCCCTAATTTATAGCTGAAGACAATAGTTTTATTTGCACGTGAGGCTGGATATGTTCTCATGTGTTTATTAGCCATCTGTGTTTTTACGAATTTACTATTCATATGTCTTATTTATTTATCCCACTGGGGTTCCAATATTTTTATTATTTTTTATGAGCTGTGAATATAAGAAAGATATAAATAACTTGTTTTCTATTTGTTTTGCCATTAATCCTTTGTCTTGTAGTTTTTTGTAGTTTTTTTTAAACATGCAGAAGTTTGATATCTTTTAGTCAAAGCTCTTGTGATCTTTTCTGTTGTTTTTTATGCTTAGAAAATTTCTACCTCTGACCAAATACGTTGTCTACTAGCTTTTTAGTAGCTTGCTTTTAAAAAATTTTAACTTATTAATCCATTTGCATATATGGAATGAGGTCAGGGTTCCTCCCCACAGCCTTACCCAAAAGCTAACTTTGTTACTGAAGGACCATTAGAATCTGTACTGATAGGTTATGCTTCACTTAACTTTAAATTTAAATACGGTATAGTCTGGGTCTAATTCATCCTATTGTTTTGCCTACACACTGATCTAACTGTTGTTTCAGAATGTTTTCCTAACCCTAACATCAAAAACTTTTTCTTTACACTTCCATTAAAAAAACAGCTATTTTCACTTGTTTATCCTGCCAGGTAATATTCAGAATATATTTTCCTACTTTCAAAAAACATCACATTATGATTCTGACATGGACTGTTTAAAACTACAAATTAAATGAGGAAACACTAATACCCTTAAAATGTTCTTCCAATATTAAGCCTCCTCTGTAAGGAAAACAGACTGCCTATTTATTCAAATTTGCTCTCTTTTTCAGTAAAATTTGGTTTTCTGTATTTGCTGGTTCAGATTATTATCAAGATACTTGTTTTACTGTTGATATTGGGCATGTGATTTTCCCCACTATTATATTTATTAACTAGTTATTGACAGATAAAAGGAAACTGACATAATTTCTAAAAATAGACTCTTCAGATGTTTCTAGATAAACAATCATTATCATTTGAAAAGACACAAGAGCCATAACCCACACTGACAAACTTGGGCAAAGGACAAAAAGTACTCCAGCTTCTGGTACAAGTGGAAATTAATAAAAGCTTTCTGGAAAGTAATTTGGCAAAATACATCAAGAGCTTTTGACCTATCATTTCAAGAATCTATCCCAAGAATATCAATTAGTTAATCACATCTCCAAATAATGATAATTTTGGCCTATTTCTATTATGTGTAAGTCTACATTTGCATATACTAGTTGAGCCATCTGTAACAATTTAAAATAAAAGCATTCCCAGAATTATTTTCTTCCTAATTTTTAATAGGAATGATGTAGAGTACAATGGCTTCTTACTATTTTGGGTAATTATCAACTTTAGAACTTAATGAAAAATATGTCCCTTCATCCAATAGTTTTACAATTATGTTTGTATACAATTTCAGGGGTTTATAGACTATAGCAAGATACCTGTATGTTATGAACCTAAGTTCTAGCATTTCTAGTTCAGGTTTTTTTATTTTTCTTAATCATATTAAGTGTTAAACTTTATCTCAAATGTCTTTTAATCATCTGTTAAATAGTGCACAGTTCTAAATTTCACTGTAGGTTATTTTTTAAACTTCTACTCTGGAAGTAATTTTAAACTTACAGAAATAGAACCAATAGCAAAGAAAGCAGAGGAACAGCCATATAACCATTATCCAGATTCATCTGTTGTAACAATTATTCTACATGCTTTATCATTTGTACCTGCAACCTGTCAATTCTTACACACACACTCTCGTATACATGTGTGTGTGTGTGTGTGGGTGTGTGTGTATTCTGACATGGGATTGTTTTAGATGGGTAGATATCTAGGTATCTAAATATTATACATACATAATTTCTTTCTTAACCATTTCATCAGGGACCTTTACCCCTAAATACTTAAGTGTACATGTCTGAAAATTAAGGAGATTCCCTTACATAGTCACTGCACAGTCAGCAATGACAGTACAATTCACACTGATACTTTTATCCAATCTACCATTCATATTCTAATTTTGCCTGCTGACAATAATGTCCTTCATAATTCCTTTTTCCCTTGTCTGGTACAGGATCATGCCCAGCATCAGGTTATTCAAGAGAGCTGTCATATCTCTTTAACCTCTTTTAATTTGGAACATTCTCACACCTTTGTCTTTTGACACTATATTTTGGAAGAATACAGTTACTCCTCACCTTTTTAACAGAATGTTCCTCATTTTGAGTTTGCCTGACGTTTCCTAATGATTAGATTCAGATCTGCATTCTCAACTGGAATTCTGCATAGTTGATGTTATTTCCTTCTCAGGGTATCCCATCTGGAAGTATATGACAGCCACCTGTCTCTCACTGGTGATGATAATTTTGACCTCCCATTCAAGATGTTGTCCAACTTCTCCACTGTGTAATTACTGATTTTTAATTCTCCCTTGTAATAATAGGCAGTCTGTGAAGAGACACTGTAAGACCATGCCAATATCCTGATTCTCATAAATAACTCTCCTTATTCAGTATACACTAAAGAATTCTTACCTGACAGCTGCAAAATGATGACTTTTCAATTCTAATACTCGCTCTACACTTGCCAATCAGCCTTCTTCATTCATTGATTTTTGGCCTTGACTTATGAGTTACTATTGTCTTTCAGAGGCTTAAATGCATTATTGTACTTAAATTATTTGGGTGCTAAAACTGGCCCCAGTGTTGACCAGTGGAAGCCCTTCCAAGATGGCTCCTGTGACCTGCCTCCATTGTTTTCATAAGCATTTCTTTACTTCCCGATGTAACAAAATATTCCAGGATCATCTTGTTCTTAGCTGGCCTAGGCTTGGAGTCAATGCTTTCTCCAAGGAGCCCTGGTTCCTCTTGATGGGAAATGGTGTTAAAGATGATGATCTGAACACCACATGTGCTTACGGCTATTGGGTGTCTTTGCCTCTTGGCCTTTCCAGCAGACAGATCAGAAACTATATGCATGTATGGGAGCATCTACATATGCACATATACACATGTACATGCCATACATACATGAGAACATAAACATGCACATACCCAAAGATGCACATATTGTTAAAATGATTTCACAAGATACCTCCACAGGGTTTATTTTTGCCCTTCTCTATACCTGTATGTCTCTTATTCCATGGTGAAAACACAGGCTTTTAAGAAAATCCACAAATCTGGTCGTTTGCTTAATGTTACAATACATCTAAAAGTTTCATGACTGTTTCATTCATACTAAATAATCAAGTCTACTAAAAAGAGTCCAGGATTTGTTTGCTCTGCCCTCCGTAGCCCAGACTGAGGATATATATAGTTAAGTCCTATATTCCTAAATTATTTTGGATTAGTTTTTCCTCCCCCAGTCACACCCCACAGTGAATTATGGTATCCCTTTGAAATATATTAGGTTTACTTGCTTTAATTTGCTTTAGTTTGAGGTTGTAATTTTTTAACAGCTACTTTGTTGCATGGTAACATAAGATAGAAGAATAGTGCCCTCAAATAGCAAATCACTATTTCGGCTAACTAACATCAATTATTATGATTTAGTAGACCACGAAAATCACTGCGAGGAAAGTGAAGAACTTCCTGCTGACATAAATTGGAAAAATATTTACAAGCTGTAGCAAGTGTGTGTTTTCTGGTGTGTGCAACAGGAACAACTAAGTCCTGGGGGAACAGGGGCACAACAGATAAACATTTGAAAGAGGTCAAACTGAAAACTCACCTTTTCCGATATGCCGCCTTGTGTTTTCAATAGTGGAATTCCGGTTAACATTGGATAGCAGCCCAAGGCAGAAACGGTTCTTATTATTGGAAGGGTCAGTGAAACCATCCACCAACACACTTGTGGAGGACGCATGGAATGCTTCACCCACTCGATTATTGAGCTCGTAGTAGACAATAGAGCACCAGTGTTTTGGCTCCTCATAAGCAACCGCTTGAACATCTGTAAGAAAGAAAAGCTTGTAAGTTAACAATGGTGAGTGCCTCGGGCTCTCAAAATCTGAAACTGTGTCGTAAAATTGGCTCAGGATCATGGAATGAAGCGATAGAAAAGCAATAGTGGTATCTAAAGCAGGTACTCCTTACTGAGTGTAACATTCTCCTTTAATTGGAAAATAATTTTCTCCAATTACTATCAGATAACCAAAACACTGGCTCAGCAAGCATACCAACTTGCTCAATACTCACAATATGCTACTTGCTCTGCAATATGCCAAAATGGAAATTATCCCCACCACAGACCCTGGCTCACCATCCAAAGAAATGCAACAAGTGGCAAGTGAAAACACAAATGGGAAGAGAACAATAGAGAATTGGAAATATGCCAAAGGTGCTGGCACAGAAAAGAATGCCTTTCCACAAAGCGTGAGTATGCCTAGGCTTTGAAACTTCAAAGCAATGAAAATCAGTTTCTAATTATTGATAAGAAGTTACTTTGCTTCACATTAAGTTGCCAATAACTATCACAGCCACAGCTTTGCTCCAGTCCTCAAACTCAGGAAGAAATCTTGCCAGCTGGCCATTTTTACAGAATGAATCATATCTCTCTCATCCAGATTTCATGCTAACTTCCTTATATTTGCTTTAAGTCATGCAGAGCAGGTGTGTTTTGTCTCTCCATTCCCAGAATGGGCCAACAATGGAAATTACCCAACTTTACTGACAGGATGCAGCTTGTTAAGTCAAATCTCTTAAGAGGAACAAATCTCTAAACAGAACATGCTTCTCAACATTTGTAACTAAAAGTTTCTGAAGATAAGTTCCTTCAGTAGTAAAACCTCTTGTACCACTGCTTTAGAGATTCCAGGAATACAAACCATATATACCCAGTATACCAATATATAATGATCTGAGGTTTATGAAGTCTTGAGTGTACAATTGTAAAAAAAAAGCAAGCAAGCTCACAATAGAAGCATGAACTGTAACTGTTAGGGGAGAAGTACTTCTGTGGTCTTCATATTAACTTTCACAAATATTAACATGAGCTTTACTTTAGAATTCAGTAAAGAAATCAAGGAAAATGATCATTAAAAAAATCCACACATACATTAGCTTAAGGAAGTGAACCAAAATTACACTCTCTCTCCTGTTCGCTAAGCAACTATCATGTCAATTTGCTGTATTTCAGGGACCAAGATTATAGTGGGTTACAAGTGCCACATGTTAAAGAAGCCTGCAACATCATTAATAGAAGGCTTTTATCAGCTATCAGGATTGTGCAAAATACTATCCATCTAGGTCAGAGGTTGACATTTCTTTTTCAGAAAGGTCTTGAGAGCCATATAGTTTCTATTGCAACTGATCAGCTGTATCCTAGTAGTGCCAGAGAAGCCACAGATAATACGTAATGAATGAACATAGCTGTGTTCTAATAAAGCTTTATTTATCAAAGCAGGAAGGAGGCTGAACTGTCCTGTGGGCTATAGTTTGCTGATTTCTTCTCCAGAAAAGGCACCAAAGTTAAAACAAGGCTCACATTCCCTTCTCATGAAAACATTAACTATAACTTATCCTACTGATGAAAAATTTTTAAGCTCTTTAAAGGAAAAAACTGTAAAGCAATTTAAAGGTCTAGTTCCTGAAATCAGGCATCTCAGACTCAACTCCCACAGCCACAGGGCCTGCATGCTCCTAACTGTACAGCTGTGGTGTGCATTGTCTCTCCTGCTGTCCTGTTCTTCACATGTAAATCCTAAGGATGAGTGAGACAGGAGTTACTTTCCCCAAGCAGAATCTTTACTTATTGGCTTATAATTATATGCTTGGGAGGATGTTCGAGAGATTAGCAGGAACCATAAAATATAGAGCCAATAAAAAAGACAAAATTTTTTAGATTAAGAAGGTGCATATTCCAATTTCTTACACTGCACATCTAAGAAAGATTCTTTGAGTTCATTATCAAATTTTAAGAACTTAGAAATACAAGCAATTCTGACAAAGTCTGAGTGATCTCCAATTTTAATAAAAAGGTACTAAGAATGAAATAAGACATACCTAGCAATCAAATTGCATTCATTCCAGTCTGCATAAAATTTACACAAATTAAATGATCCATGCCTTGTGTTTAGTGCATCAGTGAAGCACTTTGCTCTACAAGAGGTTATCTGGGGACAGTTTTACTTAACAATGTGGTCATGACTTCTTACAGATGTGCACGGATTCTCCCAACACTTACTTACCTAAGGTCTCTGCTTGCTCAAGCCTACTCAACTTGCCACTGCAGACCTGAGGGAATGAAGGCATCCTCCCCTCAGTCACTGCCTGGCAGAGTGCAGAGCTGGAAACAGACCGCCCACTACCAGAGAGGGCAAGAAATGTTGGGTCCTGCTTTTAAGTTCTTCTGGTGAAAATAGGAACATGTGTCTCAATTCCTTTTTGTAACATGGTTAGACACAAATAAATACGGCAAGGAATAAACAAACGCCATTAGTTTGTTCTACTTGCAGTTATATTTAGGTGAGGGCTAGAAAGTAGATGGGGTTTATGAATATCCTAACTACAGAAGAACCTTCTGGAAAGCCTTGTCATCTAAAGTTCTAATTTTGGAAATCTCCAGTGAAAGCTTACTTCAGTATTGCTGTGCTCATTGTTTCTCAATACACCTTTGTCCTTCACTTAAAAATATTCTTTTATTGCCAACACAGTGAGTATTTAAGCTCTAAACAGATGACTGCACAATCATATGCAGGCCTTCATTAGTTAAATCAGTGTATTTGTTCTTCATATAAGACTTATTTATAATCCAAAGAATTTTTTCTATCAAGCTTCTCTTACTGTGCTCCATCTTCCTCAAATAGCTGTCTTCTTAAAGACTGATAAAAATCTGTGAATGTAACATTTGGACAGCTAAACTTTAGACTCTAAAAAAGGAGTAAGAAGCAATTCCTTTTACCTCCTCTGTTGAGTTCTGAGGGCAGTGAAGGAGCCAGCATATTTGTGTCCATTGGCTGAGAGCCATCCTGGGTCATGGGGTCTTCAGGGGGCAGGTAGGCAGGTGGGGGCGTGTCAGCTACACAGTTAAAAAAAAAAAAAGTTCTTTATCTTTAATAAACACACACACACACCTAAAACATATATCCTCTTCTGTGCTGAAGTTCTTAAGAGATTAAGTTGCCATTTCAACATCCCCAGCAGAAGACTAGATGCTGCTGACCCAGGACTTGATGTACCTTTTGAACATACTGCCATCTCATAATCTCACATGATTTTAGTGAAAATTCAGTGGGAGAAAAGGCACTATATGCCTGTTTTGGAAGTTTGTCAGCCGATCCAGGATCATGCCATTATAAAGTAGTCAGAAGCAGTGTTTAAACATGCTTCCATATAATCCACTTGAGAGGACTTCTGCACTTCGTAGTTTTAATGGTGGATGGAAAACCCCTTGAAAGCTACATAAGACTCCTTACAAAAAAAAAAAGCTTCAGGGTCTCTTGCATTAAGCCTATGGGCTCAGGAATTTACCAACTGAGTTTCTTTACAGCCAACTTACTGACCTAACTGTTAATTTCCTATGACTTCAAGCAGTCTGTTAGGACTTTCTCCCCCGCCACTTAAATAACCACTGGTTTTAAAATCCCCAGTAGCAGAATAATAGGAAATATATCAGCTGATCACAGCTATCTTCTATTTCAGAATTTACATATATGTTTCTTCTGGAAAGCTCATAGTCAGCTGGCAATAAGAGGCTCAAAGAATAAGATTTTTGAAACAAAGAACACTAACACAAGTCTTGTGTTTTCTTAAATAAAATAAAGGGTCTGTGTTTCCTATGAAAAATTCTTTGTGATCGAAAAACACATTTCTCACTGGTTCTTGTGAGCCCGTCCAGAACATCCCATGAAGTAGGGCACAGGTTTCCCCCTTGGGTAAGTCCTCCAGACCCTCAGGGCCCAGGAATGCAAAGAGCTAGTCCTGCCCCTTCAGAGTTCCTCAGCCATTTCCAAGCTGACTCTCCAGCTGCGTCCCAACCCTGCAAGTTCCACTGTCCAGCTGCTAACAAGCAAGGACTCGGAGCACAAAGACAGGGCTATGGGGACTTCATCTGGATGCCTTTCCACCCTTTCCCCAGCTTCTTTTAATTTAACTTCTCTGCAGCTGTAACACTGACTGCTTTACTTCCAGCCAGGAATGAAGACAAAGAGCCTCCTCTGAAACCAGATCCAGTATTTCCTACAAATAAGCTGGTGAACATTTCATCAGCAACCTGTGGCGTGAGCACCACTGCGGGGGACCACCAGGTCCTCACCTGCCCTCCTGTCCCCACCCCCTCAACTTCCTTCTGCAAACTCCCTTTACTTGGCCTGTGCCGTAGCCCCTGACAGCCGGGGGCAAAGTGTAAATTCAAGCAAATAATCTTTGATTTTTTTCCACTCTTGGGCCCACCCTGAGTTTGCTGTGGCTTAAGAGCTTTTTGAAACTATTTCCTCCCCATTAACTTGTTTATCAACCCCTTGAGTCTGGGAAGGAGTGTGGTGGATAGGAAATCACCAGATGATACTGGTTTGATTTTTTAAATTAGTCTATTTCCCACCGTCATCCTAAACAGTTTTGAATTGAAAATCAAACAAAACAATGCAAAACAGAATAAAAGGAAGCAATAAATATGTAAATCAGAGATAGCAGTATCAAGTATGGCCCACTTTTCAACTTTTGAGGACACACTAGCACTGCTGTCAAATTCAAATTTACTTAAAAACATTTCAAGTGGCCCAATAAACACGCCAGCAACCTCATTTTCCCTCCTAGAAATGTTAACAGATGTAAAGCTATCTCTATTTTAGAGTATCCTCCTTGAGATCTACTGGAAAGAACTTTGGCACTGGAGATGCTTGTTTTTTACCCTACAACTTGAAAAATATAATGTCCTAATTAATCACTTATTTCGATAAACAGTACACCCTCAGTTAAGTCTAAAAAAGGAGGATAATTGGTTTTTGTCTTTGCTAAGTTCAACAAGCAGATTGTTTCCAGGACTTCTGTTGCAATTCCTTTGTTGTTAAAGTATATGTTCCTTGGGATTACATCACCGCTTAAATGAATTTAATTAAGTAAGGGGGTGTGAGCCCTCAGGAAATATCTTTTCTGCGGTTGCACTTACAACAGGGCTTTTTCCACGTTTGAAATGTTGATCAAGGCTGTGTGTCTCCTAACAGCAAATGTGTGCAACACACTATTTTTTTCTTTCTTTTATTAAGAGCAAAGACTGTAAAAGTTACGCCGAAGATGCAGCTCTCACATCAAAAATAAAACTTATTCAAGCATCTGCCCTTGACAAACAGACCAGGACACTTACTCCCTTGTCTAGATCTCCCTTCACCAGAGCGCAGCGCCGTGTCCCTGAGCGGAGCAGCTCTCTCCAGCGCAGGTGGCTGCTGCTCCTGTGACATCGCCATCTGATATGACCTCGGAACATCACTTGACCTACCTGGCATCTGGAAAGGGCTCCCCGGGTCCGAGCTGGTGGGTGAATGAGGGTAGGCACTACTGCTGCCTCCAGGAGAGTTAGGGTAGCTGCTGCCGGGAGAATGGGGGAACGCGTGGCTGCTGGGCTGCTGGAAAGAATCTGGGAAAGTGGCATTGAGTGGCATGTGAGGCTCATTTTGTCCTAGGTTACGGAACTGGGCTAAGAGGCTGTGTTGAGGATTATATTCACTGTGTCTTGGAACCAGCACTGGAGGAAGAACTGGAAAAAGGAAAGAAAAAAGAGAGAAAAATGAGATCAGTGGAAATCTGTAATAATGTCACAATAAAGTGGAAAACATCACCTGTTAGTAACAAAGTCTCTGAACCCGGCCTGGCAGCCAGCTTAGAAACACCATTCAAATAATGCAAAGCCATGTTTCACTCAGGAACAAATGCATAACAGACACAGTCTCTTTAGCATCACTGATGACTCAGCCCCGGGCTTCCAGCATTGACAAACTGCCCAAGGAAAAGTTTTCAAAACACATTCTTTTATGTTACAGGTATAAGTTTCCCCTATTCTTGATTTTTTCATTCACTGAAAACGAAAGCATGATTAAGAACATGTATCGCCATCGACAATTCTACTTTCACAGCCCTGGCTGATATTTTGCATTTAAGAGTTAATAATACTTACTGAATGATATGAATTATTCATCACAAATGTTTTAAATGGACACATTAAGTCACTTTAAAACAGAAACACAGTAAATTACATTGAGAGGACAAATACAGTGAGCAGCACAAAAGACAAATGCCAATGAAGATAACTGGACAAAAGATAATGTTTTGTGGGACAGACTTTATGTTGTGTCCTAGTAGTCGATCTTCATGTATTCACCCACTTCTCAGTAATCCTTATCACTACCTGATAGACAAAGGAAAAACCAGCTCACGCAATCCACATCTTGCTAATTGAACACTCAAGATGTAAAGGTCAAAACTTACACACCAGTAGAGAAGGACAGAAAACAACTGAGGTCATTCCTAAACGCTCTATATGCTAGGAACCTAAGGAGTTAATAATTAGCATGGTCCTCAACCGTCAGAAAGTTCCAGAGGCAAAGCTACTAAAAATACAATGGCAATGAAAGGGGAGAGCTAAGGGAGCCTAAACCCGTGTTAGATCCTAGACTTCCCATCAAGGTCACCAGATGGCTCCTCCCCAATATAATAAAAGCCCTGGGAAACCGTACTGCTCTTGTGGCCTTGGTCAGAAAGAGAAAAACAACTCATTTGGTAAACTGCTTGGGAGGAGAGAGGAAGAAGAGATTTAGAATCTGTTAGGGTTGCTGGGAGTGAGGACTCAGAATATATTCCCCTAAAGAAACAGTATTTAGTCACATTAGGAATTAAGTATTTTTGAGGGCTTTCCAGGGAATCTATCCATAACTCATACCATTTCTACAGGAAAATGTCTTCTTAACACCTGGATTACCACTTAGCCATAAACTGCTACCTGTTTTTAAGTAAAAATAGATTTTTGAAGGTATTACAATTTCTCATATGCTGTATCTTAAGTTTCTATGTAATCCTATAGTAATAGATTTGACATCCCTCAGAAAGAAATCTTTTTACTATAATAAATGTATTTGCTCTTTCACACAGTGATGAAATCTGCCTAACTCATTGAAAGCATAATTCCTCCTCCTTTCAACAGTCATCTGAAATGTAAACTACTTTGTTACATTGAAGAAGAAAATTCTCCAGTCATAAAGGCTCCCCCAAAGCCAACAGTACTCTATATTCCAAAATAAATACATGCCCTGAAATAATAACAGTACCTATGTAATAAAGTTACCTATGCAACAGAACAATATCTTCTTTTAGTGGCTGTAGCTTGAGTTACCATTTTCCAATTTGCCTTTATGATCATCTAGGTAAAGCCTCAATTATGATTTGCACCTGAAAAGGGGATAAATATTGGCCTCTAAACTATTTCCTCCATATGCAGCACCAAACAGCAACCTGAATCAGTCCTCCATAGGACACCCCCCTCCCCCGCACCCCTACCCACACCACTTAGTGGGCCCCCATTTCAGCAACTCCTGTTGCCTAATAGTTCTAGAACTTAGACTTTACTTCCTCCCACTGCCTGCAGATGATAGCAGCAGAAGGCAATGTACCTCTCCAGCTGGAGAGGACAACTGGCATTTATGTTCCTGCAGTAATTCTGTTGTGTGGTGTACAGCTCAGGTTCTAAGGCACAGTGCTGTCCTTAGTGTACATCACAGGTGATTAAATCAGCCTTTGTAGATCACCTGGGAAGTGAGCCACCAACTACAGCCAAGCAGTACCATATAGATGAACTTGACCAAAAAAAACAAACAAACCCAAAAAACCCTTTATTTCTGTACCCTCTATCAAGATATGATTTTGCCACTGCTGATATAGGTACAGATACCTTTTAATAAACTTAAAAAATGTACTGCAATATGTATAGTAAAATGCACAAATCTTCAAATAAATGGAATAATATTTACTCCTGTGTCTGCTTCTTTGGTACATTATGTCTGTAAAATTTATCCAGTGTTGTATGTAGCACCTTATTATATACGTATATTACAACTGATTCACTTAGTCCCCCCATCTAACCTCCTCAAAGGATAATCAATTTCATTTTGTTCTGGTTTATCCTGTGTTTCAGTCTTAGAAAAAAATAAGCAGGTAAATGTGTGCTTTCTTATTTCATCTTTATGACTAAAAAGAAAGGCAGCCTACTGTATATACTTTTTGCATTTTGATTTTTTCATCTGTATCTCAGCATTAACTTCATATTAGTTTATAGAGATCTTCCTCATTTTTTTCCCACCCTTTACTGCTAATAGCACCATGGTTTATTCAACCAATCTCCCATGTCTGGGCATTTAGGTAGTTTACAATATTTTACCATTACATGCAATACCTGAATAAACGACCTTGCACACAGTATTGCTAAAAGCATATCTTCAGGGTAAATTCCTAGAAGTGGAAATATCAGATTCAAAGGGTAAATGAAGATGTAATTTTCTTACTGTCAAGTGCCCCTCCACAGAGGTTGTATCATTTTGCATTGTCACTGGTAAAATACGAGTGACTTTTTCCCCACAGTCTCTAGAATAGACTATTTTGTAATGCTTTTGATTTTTTCAACAATCTGATGGATGAGACAAGAATAGATTGGCATTTTGGTGCTATTTTAACTTATATTTCTCTTAGTAAAAGTTGGTCATCTTTTCATGTATATCAAAGCACATTTTTATATCTTTTTTGTTGACCGGTCTGCCTTTTACCCACTTTTCGTTGTTTGATTTTTCATTAAAAATGTCAGAGATATTAACCCATGATATTTCATATGTTACAAATAGTTGCCACAATTTGTGATTTGTCTTATTTGTCTTTTGAGTTTACTTATGTGCAAAAGTTTTTTTGTTAGTCAAATTTATCAATATTTTCTTTTATTGCATATGGATTTTAAGTCAGAGAGCCTTCTCCTTCGCCCAGATTGTAAAGAGGAATTCATCTATGCGTTCTTCTAATGCATATAAAGTTTCATATTTTTAGATCTCTGATGCATTTGGAGTTATTTTATTTATGGTATAAGGAATAGATCTAATTTTATCATTTTCCAAATAGCCAGCCAGTTGCCCCAACACCATTTTTTAAAAAGTCTATCTTTGTCCCTGTGATGGGAGATACCACCTTTCTCATAAAATTCCATAGGGTCTACTTTTAGATATTCCATTCCATTCTATTCTAATCTGTGGCCCAGAACCACTCTGTTTTAATTAGAGAGGCTTTATAGCGTGTTCCACTAGCTGACGGAGCTGGTCCTCCACAGTTCTCAATTTTTCAGTGTTTTGCTTGCAGGCTTACTCTTCCCGTATGAACTTCAATTATCACCTTGGCCACCTCCTTGAAAAAAAATATCATTGGTACTTTCATTGGGATCACATTGTACTTATAAAATTAATTTAGAGTGTTCTGACGTTGAAATGTCCCATTTGAAACGTAGGAAGTTCAAGTCTGCTTTAGTTATTTTTACATCTTTCAGGAGTGTTCCATAGTTAATCTATATATATTGGTTTGCCAGGACTGTTGTAAGAAACTACCACAAACAGGGTGGCTTAAATGACAGAAGTTTAGTTAGCGAACAGAAGGTCCTACTAGCTGGAAGCCTGAGAACAGGTGTTCACAGGTTCATTTCCTCTGGAGACTCTCTTCTTGGCTCGTAGATGGCCACCTTCTTGCTGTGCTCCCATATAGTTTATTTCCCTGGTATCTTTCTGTATGACCTAACCTCCTCTTATAAGGGTACAAGCCAGATTGGATCAGGGCTCACCCAATGGTCTCATTTAAATTTTTTAAATAGTCACATCTGAGGTACTTATGACATTAATTCTTTGTAAGTTCTCCAGGTAAATGACCATGTCACCAACAAATAATTTTGCTTTTTCCTTTCCAATCGTTTTCCCTTGTCTAATTGCATTGGCTAATAGTGCCAATATAATGTTAAAAAGTAGTGGAGATAGTGAACTTCTTTTACATATTCTTGATATTCATGGAAATGCCATGTTTCCCCATTAAAATGCTATCTTTAGGAATGATATATATATATCCTCCATAGGACATATATATATATATTTGGACATAAAATATATATATTTTTTGGACATAAAAATATATATATATATTTATTAGTATTTTTATTAGGAAGAGGTGCTGAATTTTTGTCAGAAGAATTTTCAGCATTTATAGAGACATGATTCCCTCCCTAGACCTATTAATGTCGTGAATTATCCTTGCATTCATGGCATAAAACATAATTGGTCATGATGAATTAGTTCCTTAATGTGGGGTGTTAGAGTCTAATAACCAACATTAAATTTATGATTTTTATATCAATATTCATAAGTGATACTGATCTGTAGGTTTGTGGTGTGTGTGTGTGTGTGTGTGTGCTTTTATCAGGTTTTGATGTCAATGTTTTATGTGCTTCATAAATGTTTGTGTCAGGAACAGTTGGTTTTTGGATTCTCTCTAGATATTTGGTAGACTCCCCCTGTTAAATGTCTGGGATTGGTACTTTCCTATGGAGTAGTACCTTGTTAACTTTATTTGTTCTATAGAAATACATTTAAGCTTTCTATGTCTTCTTAGGCTGTCTGGTAAATTGTATTTTTTCTACAAAATTATCCACTTCATCTATGTTTTCAAATTTACTTGCATAAAGGAATGCAA